CTCTCTTTACCTTTGTCTCTTTCCACTGCCAGACGATCTGCCGTTGTCATAAGGTTATCTTCCAAACCGTAGGCTATCTGTCTTGTTCGGGCAGCTATGAGTTCCTCTCTGGACATCTCCTCCGCCCAGTCGACAGTTGTCCAGCTGTCGACGTGAAACTCTATGGGAAGCGGACAATGCCGCCCAAACCACAAGGTGTATGGAGGGTATCACGTGCTAGCCCGGACCGTGACGTTGTCCGCCCAAATTGCGTATCGAAAATATCGTGGCCAATCACTGTCCTTGCCTTTGCACCACTTAGATAGCGACACTATCAGGGTCTGGTGCCCTCTCTCTACTGGGGAGTTCGACTGTGGGTGGTAGGCAGTGGCTATCGAAACTCTCGCCCCAGCTCTCTTGAATACATTCTGAACCTCGTCAGCCAGGAATTCCGCTCCTCTGTCCATCACTATCTTGCTGACACAACCATACCTAGATAAGTACTCTAGGACGAAGTTCTTCACTTCCCTTGTCGTCTTACTCCTGATAGGTCTACCGTCCACGAACCCTGTGAAGTCATCTCGTATGTTCACAACATAGTTCATATTGCCTACCCCTTTCGGCATCTTCACCAGATCGATGTGTACCTTCCCTCCTGGTCGGGTTGAATGGAATGGATGAAGTGGCTCTTTGTATTTCACAAGAGCTCTCTTCTGGCATTCTTCGCAGGTCATACAATAACTCCCGACGTCCTTATACTGTCCTTCCCACCAGTACAGCCTGCGTACCTTTTCGTAGGTCCCTCTGACTCCCCTGTCTCCTTCGACTACCCCATCGTGAAGCTCTGCAACTATTGTCTGTCTCTCCTCAGGGTCACAGACTACTCGTAAGGGCATCCCCAAGCCTACTGGCCTTCGGAAAAGGTGACCCGCTCTAAGGCAGTATTGGGCTGCTTGTCTCCGGATATCTAAATCTCGACTCTCCTCTCCCGTCAGGTGTAGCCCGATCGTTCGGTACTTGCCCTCGTAAAGGTTAACCAGAAATCTCTCGGCGCGTCTCGGCTCCGCCATTGTCAGGGCTCCAGCTACTATCGGGCGCTCTCCCTCAAGAGGGATCCGAGAGAGCCCATCCGCTACGACATTTTTAGTGCCAGATATCCTCTCTACTGTGTAATCATAGAGTCGAATCCGTATTAACCATCGTGCAATGGTCGGGTCTGTCAAGCTAAAGTCCGTCTGGAGGACAGAGGCGACCGCGGTGGGATCCACTCTCAAGATGAACCGTCGTCCATAGATATAATGTCTGAACGTGTCTAGACACCGCAAAACAGCTAATACTTCCTTCTTGAATTGACTGTCGTTTCGCTCTGCCGTATTAAGTGTCCTACTCTCAAATCTTAATGGTCTTTCCTTCCCTTCAGCGTCCTTCTGAGACAGCAACCCTCCTACCGAACAAGGTCCAGCATCCGTGGCTACTATGAAGGGTCTCCCAGCCTCATCATCAAAGAACGGCACGCCCAGTATGCGTCCTCCCTCCTTGAATTCATCTTTAAGCTCTTGCATAGCGAGTTCCTGCGAGGAATCCCACTAGAATTTCTCTGTTTTTCGAAGGAGTAGTCTCAATGGCTCAGCCTTCTCCGCATACCCTCGTATGAATATACTAGCTTCGCCGGATCTGCTCGGCGTCCCCTCGAGTCACAGATAAAGCCCAAGATCTTAATAGTCGAGACGGCCTATCGGCTCTTTGTTCCGCTGACTGTTAGATTCGCATCGTCCAGCTGCTCGAGTACCGCACAAATATCCGTTAGGTGCTGCTCGATGAATCTTCTAACTCCATGTGCAACCTCTGCCTCATCCTTGTTTACTGACCCTTTTATAGGAAAGTCATCCAGAAAAACTTCAACCTTATCAGTGATGAAGTCCTTAAGGACGGCTACCATGGCTCTCTGAAAAACAGCTCCCCATTAGTCCAACCCATAGGGACAACCATCATCTGTATAAGTCCCAATGGCGTATGCATAGCCGTGAGGTGCCTGTCTTTAGGGTCAAGCGGTACCTCATCATAACCTGATAACAGATCACAGACCGAATAAATCGACCTACCTGCGGCGCCTTCTGCCAGTAAATCGGCGTGTCGCACGGAGCCCACGTCTCGTATCGTCACCGCGTTGACCTTCTGAAGGTCCTGGATCCATCGAATCTTGCCATTCGGCTTTCGTAGGAAGAACCATCGATTAGCATAAGCGCTATCA